GCCTAGTAGTCATATCCTAAGTGCCTAGTAGTCATATCATATCGCATCTATCTGCCGGGTGCATGGCTTTCCACCGCTACCAGCCGGAAGTTGGTCAATTAACAGCATGCGCGCCACGCAGTGTGAAAATCTATAACTACGGGTAGAGATGACATTCGCCCTCTTTCCGTAACAGTAACAAGTAAGTATAAATTATATTTTATGCTTTTATTAGTCTCTGGGTATATTATAGCCTACTTTCCGCTTCCGTAGACGACAGTCCGTATACGGCTCAGTATGTTGTAGGCCAATTTCGTTATATAAGTATTCTACATATGAAAACCATACTATTACTAGATTAGATATTATAAATATAAACTACGAACTGTACATGATCATACATGTCCAGACTTAGCTCTAGTAGTAGTAGTACTATAGCCGCTTACATTAACTGCCGCTGGCCGCCAGCGGCATTTAATGTAAGCGGGCTATAGTACTAGAGCTAGTCCAGACTAGGCTACAGAGCCATGCTCCCAATCGGAAAACCCATTCGCCGGTTCGGCTCTTTCCGTCATTCCTAGAAAAGAGTTTCTAAGCGCTATTCTGTTGAATGGTCTGAGGGTTCCCGATTGCCATGCTCCCTGTGATCTTCGTTGTATTTATACGTGAATACGTAAATAGGCACTTGATTTATTTTAGAGGTACCCATGTCCGTGTTCACGTCATTGACTATCCTGCTCAATCCAAATCGTATTCCTAGTTCGGGACCCTGGTACCATATATATATAGTTTGCATGTGCTAACACTGACAGATAAGCGCTGACTAGCTGTAGTACTATAGCCCGCGTACAGTAGCCGCAGGCCTGTATGCGGGCTGTAGTACTAGAGCTAAGCGCTGACCACAATTCATTTTCACAAAGTGCGACGTTGCAAAATGTGCAAATGTGGACAGCTCTTATGCTCTTATGCTCTTAATATCCTTGCCACCTTGAGCCGGTCTAGTTTAGAAATTAGCAATTTGCTGGATTGTCCAAGTTATCACAGTCAGGCAGTGTGGTAAAATAGTTAGGCATTGTTTATGTGCCAATGTCATGTCATTATAATATAAACAGTCATTCGGTTGAGTATATATCGCAAATATAATTACACATGTATGCATAGCAACATAACAGTTGGTGTTCAGAATACATGTTCTTTTGTTGTAGATATTTCGCTGGTGGAACTTGGATACATGATGCTTCGAAACATCATTGTGCGTGCATCCCTCTACACCTGCAGTGTGCTGCCATCAGTGTTACGTAGAGGAATTCATTGTTCTGCAATCTCATACAGAAGAGATGATAGGAAAACTTTGTTACAGAGTGTTATGCCAACAGATGAGGGTGTGGAGGGAGAAAAGTCACAAAATATTGAGGGAATGAAGTAGTATGTATATCAGAAGTAGCTAGATAATAGGGAAGAAGTGTGACTTCAATAAATATGGGAAATTCGTCATTTACTAACCTTAGAATACCTACGATTTACTACGCGTAACTCAACCAACTTGAGCTCAAATCGTACACAGTACATTCGCCTAGCATTGTGCGAAATCGTTTCCTCGTATACACCCGCAATCCGGAGATACAGACTAAAATGTACGACACGATTCTCCATTCTGTTTGCAGCAAATCGACTCCATAACCCGCCTAACTTGAAACAATAGGCAGCTACTAACGACTCTTGCGCACTCTTGCGCCCTTGGCGATGCGGTGTGGCTCGTTGGGAGATTGGAGCTGCTGCTGATTGCGGTGGCCGTGCGTGCGTGGGGGGCATACCAGCTCTAAATAGGTCAAAGATTAGCTCGCCGAGTGTTGCGTCGATGTCCAATCTCCTAACGAGCCAAACCGCATCGCCGAGGGCACAAGAGTCGTTAGTAGCTGCCTATTGTTTCAAGTTAGACGATTATGGAGTCGATTTGCTGGCAACAGAATGGAGAATCGTGTCGTACGTTGTAGTCTGTATCTCCGGATTGCGGGTGTATACGAGGAAACGATTTCGCACGATGCTAGGCAAATGTACTGTGTACGATTTGAGCTCAATTTGGTTGAGTTACGCGTAGTAAATCATAGGTATTCTAAGGCTAGTAAATGACGAATTTCCCATGTTTATTGAAGTCACACTCCGTCCCTATTATCTACTTCTGATGTATATTTTTCTCATGCAGAAAGTTTGCTTCTCTCATGTGGTTGATGCTTTTCACATTTTGGGTCAAATCTGTTTCTCGGACACTCAAAATTTTGCAGGTGTACTCTACAATGTTATGTATTCAATATATTTTTTTACTAATATTTACAGTTATAGAGGATTGACAAATTTATCCTCGTGATTTCTGACCATTTGTTTGTTAGTAATTTTAATAACTTTGTAAAAAATGAATGGCATGCAGTGGCAAATAAAACCTACAACCTATATAGTAGGCATACAGGTATGTGTTAGCTGTGTATTTATAGGTACATCACCTATTCACCTATTTTGTTTCATAGTTACGGTATGATGACACCAACACTGGAAACGTTTAGTACCCTGTTTGGTGGCATTCGATACGACAATCTACCGGTAGCTCACGTTAAAATCAGCCAAAACAACACCATTATCAATGTAACGGATCATCTTGGTAAGTTTTTATTGTGTAAACAAAATTCACCATTATTGCAATATGTATCAAATAATAAATTGGTGTTATAATGTTACATTCTCTGTCTGTGTGTGTGTTTCTATCTTATCCCTACCCTATCTCATTTTCTCCTTTTCTCTCTCTCTCTTTCTCTCATTCTCTTCTTGGCAATGCCTTGAATGTGCCGTAGTGTAATCTATATAGTTTTATAGATGTATTACTATATAATGGCTTATTAACTATTTCAGGTGTTATCTATGCAATTGGATCATGTGTAAGTAATAAAAGCATCTTGCTATCCTTTTTATTTAAAGCATGTGAGCTAAACTACACATGGTTGGAATGAAAATTAATTTCTACCTAAATATTATGGTTCTTTTATAAGCAAGTATAAAGTGACTTGTGACATATTCAATGTTGCATTTTTTTGCTTCAAAATATCTCAATGGTGAAAATATCAATACCAACCAAAAAACTATGCAGTGAGTAAGGTTTTACAAACAAACATGACCATTGAGACGTTTGCATCTTCTACTCTAAAATTTAAGTAAATCGGGGTTATAATCATGGTCAAGCATTGTGCCTTTTATTCTATAAAACGGTATGTGTGAAATTTGTATGTAAATTTTCTTGTACTGTCTAGGGCACAGAAGGGTTTAAAAATGCCAGGAAAGGAACTAATATCGCCGGACAAGCAACTGGCATTGGTGTTGGCACGGTAGGTCATATTCGTCTTGTGTAACTATTAACTGAAAACATACACATGGACGGACAGCTTCACTTCACTCAAACAATACACCCCACATAGCTTGCCCAGGAGTTTTTCTATATGCTACCTATATATTGGAAAGTAGTGTGTGAATAACAAGAGTATTTCTGGTTCTGGGTTTTATATGCTATGCTTGCTACTATCACATGATGATAGCAAAAGTTTTAAACAGTATTATTGCCATTATTCACTTGTTGTTATAGCATTGGAGCAAATTTTAAACACTAGTGTTGTTTACTTGCACCAATACAGAGAGCAGTCAAGAAGGGTGTAAAGCAGGTGAGAGTGAGAATTAAAGGTCTTGGACCAGGCAGAATGGTAAGCTTTGTACACTTGTGTATTGCTTTGTTTAAACGTCTGTATCTGTGTTGTTAGAAGCTGCTTTGTGATGATATATACAATATTATTTCATGTTTACCCACACAATAGGCTTCCATTAAAGGACTCCAGATGGCTGGATTGGATATAGTGTCAATCACAGACTGCACCCCGATCATTGGTAAAGAGATTCGTCCACGAAAACAAAGAAAGCTATGATTGCTACTCAATTCAGACAAAAGCGTATATATAACCATTGATCACAGGAATGCTATATTTATCTTGAACGTGTATTGATCTAGCATTTCCTGCTTGAATTGCCTTGCTGAAGCATATGGAATAAAGGTGAACTAGCACAAGTTGTATCCTAGACCTAGATTATAGGTATCCTATTAGCTGGTTTGCTTTATTTTCATCACATTTTACAAAATTGATGTTTGTTAGGCAACCTACTTTATTTTGAAATCTAAATATCTCATATTCACTTTGGATCTTCCATATCGGCAGACCATGTTTTCTTGCATTTTGTTGATATCATTATTACGTCTGCTTATTGGAAACTAAAATTAACAAATTTTGAAAAAAGTTAATTAATAAAAATCACAAAGTTAGAACATGTAATACATGTAATATGTTATTATGTACGTTTTTATTGCATTATACAACTACAAATAACGACTTTTCTACTAGTGGTCATACAAGGTACACAATTCATTATACTGTGACACAGTGGTAAGAGTAATGAGACCATAATCCGACCATGAAGGGAAAAATGGTCTGACCGCATTAGTTGCTATGAGCACAATCTACGAAACCTGTCACAAAACCTGCTATGCAGGTAAATCTTTGAGTAACACCACTGATCCTTGTATCAACTCATGCAGTTGTCATAGTTAACCTACTATAAGGATATCACAAAATTAAACTATTATATGAACAATGAAATTGAATATTGTTACTCCAATATTTACATGCATAGTGGGTTTTTGTACAGGTTCGGCACAGTGTACAGGAATAACGGGTTGTACAGTGAATCACACAGTACAGAGCCTACCAAGTAACTCCACAAAAATGACTATGCGATTCTTGTTTAGAGACAAACAGATATTTACAAGGAAACATAATTTTCCTTAAGGGAAACTTAGAAATATTACCTATTAATTTGCCAAGATATTTTAAACTTTAGAGGTATAAAACACTTTCTTAGTATGAGATGATAAGTTGTTGATATTACAAATCAAAACTAGTATGATTATGTTGACATTTCACAAAGAATCCCTAGTGATCGTAAAATTCAAAAGCCAGGTATATCTACCAATTATCATATCATTCAATCATGATGCTAAACAATAATAGCAATTTAGCACAATGTTCGGAAATAATCGTCCACACCACCGCGGATAAAGCAAGACATTACCATGAAGTCCTAACACCCATTTAATTTAATTTACATATAACTCTCTTGGAGAAAAAACATGCCCCATGCCATGTATTGCTTATTGTGGTGCCATCCAGAAAGGTCTGTTGGGGTCAGAATAGTATCCAGGTGGCGGAAATTGCTGATTTGTTTGTGCCTCAGGTGGTAGTACTTGCATGGGCTGCTGAGCAAGTACTTGTTGTCCTAGAAAACGTGAATATACATATTGTTACAAAATGCATGTTGTAACTGAATGGTTCTTGCAATGAAAGTAGTTAAAATGCTAAAAAAAATCACTTTTGAAGAACAAAAAATTGATAGGAAAGAAACAAAACCTTCTGAAATCTGACGTGAACCTTGTTAGAAGAATTTACACATTGCCATCTGTAAAACTGCGAAGCTACCTGGGTTGGCATTTAGTGGGGGTCCATATTGCGGCCTGTCATAGGAACTCGTAAATGGAGGTCTATCTTCTGCAAAGGGTGGTCTGTTTATAATTTCTCCATACATTGAACGGTCCTGTTCCATGAACCTGACCCTGTCATCTGCATCCGAGAATCTTGACCTAATAAGAGCCAAACAATTCATAATCACTGCCATGCTAATTGCTTGATCAAATTTTCTTGATTCCACAACTTTTATCGAATCATTCGTTGACAGTGCTGTCAAGGGGATCACTAATCTAGAATTTAGGAGTACATTATATTTATTGCACAAAAATGATTATACACCTACATATATCTGTTATCGGATATTCCGTTTTGCTATTAAACACCACCAAGTTTTGTCAAACCTAAATCCCCTGAATGGTAGATTTTGTGCACCGCTATGACACCGTACGACTGTGCAGCGACTGACCAAGATTCACTTTCAAATTTTTATTTTGCACGTTACAGTCTAAAAGCTAATTATAAAAGTGAAATTTTATTTATACCTAACAATTTATCTTTGCAATAAATACATGCATAATCTAATTGAAAGTAATAGTAAAATACAAGACACTCCCATAACGTAAAAGTTGTGTAGTACGACTTTGTTAGTGGATGCACATCTATTGGCACCATCAATATTGTGAACAAAACAATCGACAGTTTTAAAACATGACAAAATTATTTCTAGTAAATATTGAATCACAATCCTTAAAAGTAGCATAATTTAAACCTACATTAACTGAAAATATGCACTATACAAAGTAATACTAATTAATAAGGCTATATAAGAACAATACGTTGAGAAGGGTATCGCTTGCAACTATAGTAGTTGGCAAAGAGTATGACTATATCTAAAACCTACCTCTGTTCATGCAGGAAAGGCCTGTCACCCCCATAGTGGTGAGATTTGTTACCATGAGAGAGTGGGAACTTGCTGGCATCTAGTTGGACCTGCCTCATGCCAGACATACGCTCATCACACTCTCTCTCTTCCTCTGTAAAATGGTTAGAAAATCAGTTTTAGCTAAGCTCTTACACTCGGGGAAACATGGCCACACGATGACCATGTCCACAATTCTCTGATCAAAGCGTGACTGTATAAACGGGAAATGACATTCTCATCTGATTATTTTAAGCAGTCTGAATGCACTTCGAATCCCTGCATGATATTGTAACAGTAAATATCTGGTGCAGCCCAAGATTACAAAGAAATTTTACCTGGGGAAAGCTTGGGGCGTTTTGGTTCAGGTGGGCCTCGGTCACCTGTAAAACACAGACACCTATAATACGTGTTCACCCCAATGTTTTTATATGTAGTAAACAGGTTAATATAATATCTCAGTACACCATTACTGGACAAGTACAAACAAGGTGCAGAGATGAAAGCAGTATGCGACACACAGTAACCGACTCTCTGGCAATACTTTATCAGGAAAAGTGGACACTGGGAATTGAAATTTTATGTCCAATAGTTGCCAGACTGTTCTTTTACCATTGTCCGTTGCTATGCTTCGCAGCATGTCCTGGTAATGGTTGTAACTGTTGTGCTCAGCTAAAATGAGAATAGTTTTTATTAACACGTTACAGTGATAAGGGTTAGACGGTCTGAAGGTCACTGCCTGCTTTCCGCAATAACCTGACACAGCACTTTATGCTTGACAGCCATCTCTCTATCACTGCCTATCCATAGATACAGAATCAGTCTTTGTGCAGTTACTTGGCTATTACTGTATTAGCAACAGAACAGGATAGTTAAAACGTCTTTGAGACGAGACATTTGAAAACTTACATCAGAGCAATGCTATCAAACTACCATGGCAATCATCAAAATTGAAAATACATGAGAACTCTGGTAGGCTGTACTAAAAAAAGTGAGGATCAAGTTCTGCAACAAAGAAATGAAATATTTTTTAAACTAATGATACGTAAAATATATTGTCAAACTTGCACAACACTTGAAAAATATTTGAACATATTTAGTAAAATGGAAAATCAACCTCTATCCAACACGGACCATCTTCAGCCACTGCCTTATCAAACATTTCACAAATATAAACAGTATACTTAAATACAAACAAAAGTATTCTTGCTTTGAACTTCTGTCTGAAATACACGTAAATATTCTTGTTATCGGAAGCAAAACTATAGAGAAATCTCCATCAAGCAACTTATCTAAATACTCTCACACTAGCATCACTACACACAAAATTGTACAATGTAATGGCAAGCATCTCTCTCAGCTAGCAATCCATCTGTACTTTCTTACACTAAACCAAACATCCTAGCCACACAAATAATATTTTTATTCACAGAAAATGCTATATTTCCAGTGCTGAAAGAAACGTCCAACTCTAATGCTCGATGATCGAATCAGCCAACAGCTGCTATTTTCATGTGATGTCTGAAAATAATTCAGAGGTGCTTTGATTTGTAGTGATATTTCGCATGGTTAAACCTTACAATAATCTGGTTTAGACCTAAAAAAGACGTTTGTTTCCGCTAACCCGACCGAGTCCATTTTAAACCGCCGTGTCGAAACATTTTATTGTGTTCGGCAAAAAAATGTTAAAATGTTTTTTTTTTTTACATTAAAAAAATCCCAACTTGATATCGATCGGTGAATGCAATGATTTGACTTTGAAGTCATTATATGGTACAGTATAAAACAAGTACTGTTAGAATACAACAAAAAATACAAAAGATTTGATAAAAAAAAGGTTTTCCAATTTTTCCCAGCTCATTAGCAGAAACAAACGTCTTTTTTTAGACTTTAAGATCCATAAATAATCATTACATTCTGCAGTAATCACGCTGATTCCATCAGTCCAGTATCACTACCTACACAACTAATTAACTTGCACAAATACGTATACAGTAACATAATAATATAGACTAGTCACGGAAAACGCATATACTGTTTAAAATAATAAGTACAACCAACACGTAGTTATGTAAAATCTGACTCAAGTCGCACAAGTTTGTACAAAGATGACCAAACTGTTAAAGACCGTAAATCACAACCAGTCAACACATAACCTCCTAATATTGCTCCCATAGCAAAACGTATGTTTGTCATATTTTTATGTGAGGTAATATAAAATATAAACGATCACATCTTGTTTCTATAAAACCACATTAACTCACTACTTTCTTTTGTCCCTCTAGAATAAATCGTATCGATCTTGATTAAACCATAAATACCTGTATCTATAACCACCACACCACTGCACTGTATCTATACTGCTGTGACCTCCCATGAGTTACTATATTTCCACAACATAAACATTTTATATAACCAACTAATAACCGTGTTATATGCGATAGGTGTAAAGATTCACTAACAGAATCAGAATGAATCCGCACTTATGTAATTACACCCAGCACTTTATGGGAAAACAAAATTTTCACTTCTGAGATGTTGAAATCTGCATTATTATAAATAAAATAAAAGCAATGAACTCTTATAAAACAGTTTATCTATGTAGTTTGTCGTGAACAAATCAAACGACAGTACTGTTGCAACAATATTCTCAACAGTTGATACAGATATATAGTAAATAATAACACTAGATTCGTTGATGACCTTTTATTGCCGTACAGTGCTAAATGAGCCATTACGCCAGTCACTGCATAGTTTTGCTCAAGTATACACTAGAGCCCACGAAATGTGATATGAGATGGTACTATCATATGCTGCAATCAATCAATGAACATACTTAATGTTTACATTAGTATTGTTAAATTTTATATGGGAACTCGATTGCTCCCAATTTAGTATGTTTTTTACCTCCCTATAATTAATAGAATTGTGAATAATTTTTTTCAGTTTTTATTGTCTTTGAATCTGCATGAAAAATAAGAATGAACTCATTAAATGCATAATAATACATAATTTATACATTTCATGCTCAAGTATTTACATACATTCTCACAGTTGTAAGCTAAGTACATACATAACTGAAACCCTCTCATAAAACTTCCACACTTTACAGAACAAATGCATATGTAGTCTAATATGGATACCCAACATATTTCTACACACAACACTGCCATCTGGAACACTACTCAAATGTTGAAATGCTTAGCAGTAATTTTAAGTTGCACACAGCCATTCTTGAATGATTTCTAGTTTGCAAATATCTAATATAGCATTTCAGGATTGAATGTACAGAAATTATAACTATCTATTAAGTGAATAATAATGAACAATTCTTCAATGTAGTTATGTTTACAACTCAGGCACTAGTAAAAATACATCTGTTCATCTGTCCATTTTTCGTGGGTCAGTTGGACAACAGAAAACAAGAAATCATTCAAGCATTGTCTGATGTTTGTGCAGATGAAACAGCAGTCACGTTACAAAGATGCTTACAAAGTGCATGGACATGTCTGCAGTGCAATTGTTACACTCACTATGAGTGGCTATCTGCCTCTAACAGCCCTGTAAATCACAGCCTAGTCACACACCTCACTCCTGTGTTGCCTTGTGCATGCCAGTGCACACTGCCGTCCTCCATTGCCCTGAAAGAGAACTAGTCCAATTTTGTTAGCCATACAAACCTGCACTGTTCCCTACAGATGGAGGCCGTAGCATAAGATGTTTGTCCAGATCCTCACGGTTTCTATCTTGTTCCACAGGAGGTGGTGGAGGTGGTTGCAACAGTAGATTAGCAGCCGTTGATGCAGGCCTAGAACAACGATCAGTTTAAAAGCAGACATGGTTAGTGCGTGGCAACGCGCCTTGAAAGGAGTGTGCTGCCATATGCTGGTAGTGGTTGTGAAAACCCCTTTACCATCTGAAACTTAGTAGATTTTAAAAGTCATTATGTTAGAGCAAGATCAGCGAAGAAAATCGCCCTAAAAGGAGGGAGACGTGGATTTTGTTGACTCGTAGCCTTTCAATTCAGAACACAAGGAAAATATAAGCATTCGAAAATATCAAATTCCCTTGAACTTTCTGCTGACCTGCCTAATTTTTAAACGTGTATGGTGACACTGCTAGCTCATGCATTTAATGAAGGCCTATCTATATTAATAACTCTTTTCTGTTCAAATCATTAGCTAAATTGCAGTATTCATTGAGTATTATACCAGAAGCACTATAACTAGAAATGTTGACCTCAAATATGGAAATAATATGATCGACTAGCAAACACGGCACTTCGACTTTACATGGTTAGAAGGCATCGTTTTTATACACCTGGCAATTCTCTAGTAATAAGTACCTAAAAATGTGCCTCTGTGCTATGGTGGGTGTACTGTACATATCTAATATATTCAATTTAAAAATCAGTTGCTGCCATCACTTTTACCATTTCTCGGTCACTGGATTTTTAGGTCGAATTTGACTAAGAGCAAACTGATAAGCATTGATCGTATGTGTTAGTGAGAATGACATATGAAAGCACGGAATTGAGAGTACATCACATCAGATGGGATAGCTGAAATTATTATAGAATGTTGTACTGCCTACTTATTTATGTACACAATGCACTGTGCAGGTAGCCCATATCTGGAGTAAAAAAAAGTAGCCATTTAAAATTGCAAGACCTTCATACAGACCGAACAACCCGTATGCTTATATTCTTCTATAAATCGTAGGAATACACACATTGACATGCTGCTACACGTGTGAACATGAACGAATGTGTGGGCTACCAAATACTAGAGTATGTAGTATCTCCTTCAAAGTGGAAGCAAGAGTCAGGTGCCTAATGCAAAATGGTATCACACCGTTTTAGTACACTAGTATAAATTCCATGATTAAAGTATATTAATTACTGTTTTAAATGTAACCATGTTGAAGTTTCCTGAAAGAAAGAGTAGACAAATGAGCTTGTGCATACAGTTGCAAATAAATTAACATGCACCAATAGCAAAGAGCACATGGTAGCAAACACCTGGTATACAAATAACACTAGGGAATGGCTCTGGAAAATTGATTATCGATAGAAAAATCAATCAAACTTAATAGGATCAAGCAGTAAAATGTGATACAATAATAGGTAAATAGACAGTATGTTAATGAAACAATGCTGAAGAGATCAAACAGGAATAGGAATATCCAGCTGACTACTCAACATTGGTGATTCTCATGTAACAGTGATGTACAGTTTTATGATATTTAGAAACTCCCCGTAGAGGCAAGGCAAATAATTCGGACACAGCAAATAATAGCAATACGACGCATTTAAATAATGTCAAGATGATCCAGATATCCACGCCTGATATCAACCTGAAATATAATAGTATATATAATGACTAGTTATCAGCTTATTATGTAGGAAGCTCTGGTAGACAACTGCTGACCAAGACTGTAATATGAGAAAACACTTTATCGACAACACTTAAACATTACTACAAGAAACTTACCCTGCAGGGGGAAGCTGCTGAAGATGGACACCTGGTTGCAATCCAGAGTAGGCCATGCCTGCGTAAGAGGGCGGCTGGTGTGGTTGAGTGACATTTGCTACAATTCCTTGTGGCTGTGGGGTTGGGGCAGGCATGAATCCAGGAGGCATGTGACGCGGCACATGTGGACTGGACGATTCTACCAGCTCCTGCCGTTGTCCTGCAACAAGAGTATAATTCATTTTACACAGATAGATAAGAACAGCTAATATACAATGTGTGTGTGCGTGCGTGCGTGCGTGTGTGTGTGTGTGTGTGTGTGTGTGTGTGTGTGTGTGTGTGTGTGTGTGTGTGTGCGTGTACACACTGCAACGCGATCACTTTTGGATCATATTCAAGACTCATCACCAAATGCTTTTAGAATTTCACTGGTTGCTTTATACCCTACAATTTGCTTTGCATGCAAGTCATAAACAACGAATGAACCTGCTTGGGATAGTGATTTTATCTGTGTAGTATGTGTTCGTACAAAATTAGATGTTGCGTAGGCAGACGAAAGTAGAATCTAGTGGCTTTACCTAAAACAGTATTATTATTATATTTCAACAGTATATTTATTAACATCAGTATTATCAAACCAAGAATTTCTTTAATGCTACTGCAATTAGTTCAAAGATGCTAAAAATTGTGCTGTCAGTTTCGTTTCTTATGAAACATGTTAAAGCAGTTATCCACAACAATTCAACTGCTCCAACACAACCAAATCACATATGTAATATAGCAACCGAAATACAATCTAGATTAGCATTCACAACCGAGTTACACAATTCGGCAAATGAAGGCTAGCCTGGGCGTACCAGGATGTGCAAAGTGGCGTAGCTCCCCAGACATATCACCAGCGCGGAGTTGCTCCTCTCCCAGTCTGCCATGTTGCTGCACACCGGCTATTGACAAGTGACCGGTCTGTGAACCTGTGTGCAAAATATATACATATGTATGAAAATATATGTATAATAAATAAATATGTATGATGTATAAAATGTGCAAAACACAGATCACTTCCTGTATCATCACGGCTCATGTACGGTCATACGATCATCATGTTCTATCCATGCCGTTTATATCATGCATCATCATAATATGCATCGAATGCCCTCTACATCAATTGAGTTTGGATTTATGAAGCCAGAAAATCATTATTTTTGTTACAGGTGTGCGAAGCAAAATGAACGGTCAGATATATATTGAACAATATAATGATGTTGATTGTGCCAAGCTGCACAATCCTTTTCAACAAGATCTATTTTATGATAACATTTGGAAATCAATGCGACATGATTGTATACAAATTAAATGTAAAACGCACCTAATGATGCTAAACTGGCTGCCATTTGGACACCTGCAGGCTGCTGTCCAACTTGTGCTAACTGTGGATTGACAACGTGTGGCAAATGCGGTGGTCCATGCTACAAATAATGCAGTAAAGACATTAGCATTTCTAATAAAGATTTAACCAACTTGAAAAATTGTCCCCTATTATTGTACACTGTCACAATTCCACACCCATTACTTTTAAGCATAAACTCAAGATGCTCTCCAGCCACAGATCCAACAAACACACAAAATGAAATCTGCCTACCTGGTACCCAAGCAGGGGCTCATCTCTCTTTGGCGGCTCCTCCATGAATCTGCGCTTCTGTGGCTGTCCTTCGGCGACTATGTTTGGCTGTGGCAGCGAGGAGATGGACGACACAAGAGAGGTGCCTGCAGGGCCTAGCTGGGCCAGTGACGAAGCAAAGTTGCCAGGTGTCATAACCTGCACTTGGGACAAACTACCGCCTTGCAATAACTGCAAATATGCAGACAATGCAACATTTAGATTGGAACTGTTTGTACACATGTGCTGTTGATTTTATTAGTATTAATTTACTATATACATTTCTGAAGTACAACACAGACTGAACCTCCATCACCATAGCCACATTTTCACTCATTTGTTTAGGCACTAAACAATATACCATGCTATACAAGAATGTACGTACCTGTAAATGAGGAGGAAGTGTGGCCAGTGACTGCGGTGGAGCAGTGTTTATGAACCGAGGGCCAAAATACTGTCCCGCCAGTGAGCCGCCAATTGAGTTTGGTGGCAGAACAACTTGCATGGATACAGGCAGATTAGAGGCAGGTAACTGCTGAGTCATTGACAGCTGAAACACAATAGTATGTGTAATCAAAATAATTCAATCTATACATACTCACAACATGTGACATACAATCACATCACTACTATCATGGCACTAAATAATAAATCTTATTATAGTAGCAGGAAATCTTAATCATATTCTAAATGAAAGAATGTAAGGTTGGCACCTGAGAATGTAACTCGTAAATAATGTTGTCCATTTGCCATAACTATGGTGGCCAAGCGTTATAATAGAGAAAATGAAATAAATAAATAATATCAAATAATTTTTTTTTTTAAATCACGTCTTCGACGTGGCCCAGTTATAATAGACCAAATGCATTGTGCGGTCCAAGTAAGCTAAGCGGTATATGTTTATGTAAGTTTACTCAGACTGCAATGCATTATGGTCTATTATAACACTGTGCCACCATACATAACTAAGTTTTTCACTATTAAAATACACTCCTTCAAAAGTTATACTATTTTAGGCAATTCTTCTTATTATCATTTGAAGCAATTCTCTCAAAATAAGGCCCAAAATGCATCAATAGAGTAAAAAGTAACATTAGATCTTCAGGCAGTTTGCCGGTCACATGCGCCGACTTAGAAGGGCAGAGACCCAGAATCTCATTACATGGATGGAAATACTGCCTCTCAGTCCTGAAAACTCAGGACTGCTAATAGTTTTATGGTAGCCGGGGAACCACTAAAATAGTCATACCTGTTGCTGGAGACTGCCTGCAGTACCAGCCAGCCCAGGCAGAGCATTTGATGGCAGTAGCTGTTGTCCAAGACTGTTGTAAGCTGGCAGAGATACAGCCGGCTGTCGTATCGCTGCTACCAAGTTAGTCGACGATAGACCAGACGATGCCAGGGAAACGAATGACTGTGCTAAACTATTTGCTGCTAGAACAGAACGGGCACACTAGGTCAATTCATCAATTTAAATTTCATAAATCCGATAACTGAAACGTTTGTATAATTGAAAATGAAACGCGAAGTCCAGGTACAATCGCGCAATAGGAATTACATCCTAGCTTGGTTTTTAATGAGCATATTTGACTCCAAAATCAATCTTGTGACTCACCTGCTAATGAAATAGCAATGGAGTAGGGTGTTGATGTCGACAACTGCTGTGGCAGTGAAGCAACACGAGGAAGGTATGCTGTTGCTGATCCAGAATGGCCTAGTGACCCTAATCCTGCCCAACATCAACACAATGCAATTTAATGCAAACCTACCGAGTTAAAATATGCCATATATGCAAAATCTGCACAACTAACCCAAGGCAGTACAATAAACTAGAAAGGGCAGTTGTCGCCAACTACATGTATCCCCCGTGTTCTCCCCAAGATGTGTAAGTATACAAAGTTTGGTCGCGCTAGGTCAATTAGGGGCCGAGTTATAGAGTGAAAGGAAAATATGATCAAGGTCAACGTCAAGGTCAAATAAAAGCCGCAGACCTTGTTTTGGTACGCGACACACATTCTCCCCAAGATGTGTAAGTGTACCAAGTTTGGTAGCGCTAGGTCAATTAGGGGTCGAGTTATAGAGCGGAAGGGAAATATGATCAAGGTCAAATAAAGGTCGCAGTGACCTGGTTTTGGTACTCTGCACACCTTCTCCCCAAGAAGTGTAAGTATACCAAGTTTGGTCACGCTAGGTCAATTAGGGGTCGAGTTATAGAGCAGAAGGGAAATTCTCTGCGGCGGACCGAGCGGCGGCGGCGGCTGGGGAGACATGAAACCATAGTATACCCGCCGACTTCGTCGCAGGGGATACAATATGACACAGTTCATTCGTCTCTATGCACATAAATTATACAAAGATGCATTTATATGTTGTTTTAATGTGGACAGGTACATTACTTTGCAACAAATATAATGGTTCTGTAGATAGTCCTTATCACACGTCACCCACCGACCCCTAATGCCAACTATCGGTTCAGAGGTACTCCTTGTCACACCTACCAGCTTGAGCCTGTCTATTGAGAAGGGCCTGAGCAGAAGGTAGCAGCGATGCAGACGTCAGCAGAGACTGTGGGGTGTTGAGCAGGCTTGGAGCAGACGTCGTGTGAGACAGCACTGATGACGGGTTCATTGCAGCACTGAGACCAGCCAATCCTAAAATCGCATTTTAACGCGCAACTTTAGAAACTGCCACTTGTCCACAGCAGCTGCTTCAGGCACTTTGACGATAACTATAATTACTGCTATCGATACATTCGAACCTGCTAGAATCACAGGTGATATTTCCCTTCTCAAAAATGATGTTGACAGATATGTAGACTTCTGACATCTAGTGTGCAGAATACTGTTCTATCAGTCTGTTGCTTTGGGAGGCCTGTATCGGCAATGGCACAGTCTTTGTGCATACTGCCTTCTTATAACCTCCATTTGAAGAAACGTGCTTGTATATATGTCTATGTATACATCTGATCAGTAGCTGGAATTTTCCATTCTATCATGATTGATAAATGAAGCACGTGTGTCTCAACTACTCCTACTCATCAATCCTTGGACATTTAACATAGACGCGTTTCTACGCCAAGCATTCCTTTTACCTGCATTCTGTAACAAGGGCTGTGCAGCTTGTTGGTTTGCAACGAGCTGTGCCAGCTGTGCTGCAGCCAGTGCCTGCGCATGTTCCTGCACAGTTGCACATTCCTGTCTCACCTAGGAGAAACAAATTAATAGCTAACAAACCTTTGGAAGCTTCCATGTTCATGAGCACATAACATGACACCTGTATTGGCAGTAATTTTTAAATCGGAATATCATACAGGTTAAATGTGCCCTCTGATTCAATATTTAATCTAATGTAGATAACTACAGTTCAAATAGACCATGGCACAGGGTTAGATACTAACCATTTTAGTTCATTAGTCCACAGGACTAATACAGTTGTAAAAGAAAAAATGTACTAGTCCTGCCGAAGGACTCTTACTATGCGCAAAGCGACAAGCATTGTGATTTGCCGGGAGGTAGGTGGGGTAGGAGGGTAGAGCCCCCTTCTGCTAGGGGGTACAGGGAGTCTCCCCCAGGGTACAAGAGGTCTCCCCCAGAATGGTTTTGCAAAAGACATTCAATTGTATAAAATATACGTAACTTTGATATGGATCATAAGAATACAAATGAAGTGATCATGATTTTTTAATATATTTATATCATTTGGTTTATTAACATTTCATAGGCCTTCTCTTGAAAAGCGGTTACATCTCTGTAGCTTGCGTAATCATCATCATCAGAGCTGTCAGCAGTTGCTAATTAGGATATTCAGTTTTGCTATTGTGGCTAGTGTTTTTGCCCCCACTGTTTCGTGAACAGGCATGGTCCTTGTATTTCTTTTTGCTATGATCTTTCTGTGCCCCTCGGAAGCATCATGCGCTTTAACAGTTTCCAAACGATAGTTTGTAGTGCCAGTGAAAAAACTACCAGACATACAGCCTGCACCACAGGTCATACCCTTGGCCGAGTCATACTCTAGCCACGGGTATGACGATTTCCACGCTGGCTGGAACGTACGCATCCTTTTGGTCTTATCATAGACACGCTGGCCATCTAATTTCTCCTCCCGCGACTTACGTTTGGGAGGTGGAGGACGAGCTCCGTCCAAATACTTCCACATAACAACCTTGATGTTAGTATTGGATAAAGATGTACCTACTACTATGCTTCACTACTTGTATCACTACTATAGATAACTATTTGTATCGACTGCTTCAACTGTTCAAGTAAAACACGAATGCGATGTGGTTGCGATGTAAATACCTCGCTGTGAGAGCGTATAACCGATTAGTTGTGTCATTTATACAATCAGACCGTTTGTTCTATGTCGACAGCTACTGTCAAACGATCGATCGGTAGACTGGTTCGTGTGGCCCCATTGTTTAACAATGTTTGTACTGTCATAGGGTCTAGCGTGCTTAGAGCGTGCAGTGTGCTAGCGTCTACTTGTACTAGCGCGTCTAACAGGGAAAACTTGTTGATGGCAATGAGTAAGAGTTATATATATAGCTCTTTGAATCTTGGTTGAGAGAAGCTGCCACCGGAGACTATAGTAAAATGGATGGGAGGATGGGAAATTGGGACGGTGAGGGACGGGGAAAATAACTAGTACGCAGGACTAACGGCTATGGGGCATTTACTAGTCCTTCTTATTTTTTACTAGTCTCGGACTAACGAACTAGCGTTAGTGTTAAACCCGGCCATGGCACCTGATATTCTGTATCTCTACACGCACACATTAAGATGTTTTTTATACCTAATACATAATACTTTGAACTCAAACCAATTACGCAAATAATATGCATTCATATGCACTCAAACTTTACAACCAACTCACAGTATGACACAGGTTTTCACAGAGTTCCTTTGCTGCTTGTAATCCTTCTATCCTTGGATGCCTATGAATAAAGCAATATTTAATCATTAGAGTCTAACTTTTTGTACATTATAATCTCAGGCCAAATCTTGAGGCATTTTATAAATGTATTATGAAAGTTGATGACAGCCATGATCACAAAAAGATCCTTATAGCCTACAGGCCTAATAGACTTTTAACTTACTAATACTACATTTAACAGTAGAAAATTTAGTTCATTTTGTGTTAGATTGTAGACACATTTTCGTGTAACACATGTCTAACATACAAAACAATATGTACAATAAAGATTAAAGATGTACATACAAAGAAGATATTATTTTTCTACAAAAGAAAAACCTGTACCAAGTGTACATACATTATTTGCAGGTGCATTGGTTCAAAAGATTCCATGCCCATAATAGGGTCTACAGCACCAGATCCCTTCCCAAGTAGTTCCACTTTGGCTCCAGTTTCAGATATTATATGTGTGATATAAGAACCCTAAAGTAAAAAACAAATAAGTAATAATTGAAAATTCATATATTTTCAGTGCTCAATTTTAAGGTTTTTTTGGGTTGTCCGGAGGACAACCAAGAGAGTAGCATATGGTTGTCCCTCAAGAGTTTTGGTTGTCCGGATTTTATTAAACATGTGCTGCATGTGCTCTGCTCACGTGATGCTCAGTGCTGTAAAGCAAAAGGCCTAATCATGTACATTTTGTACGTATTGCAGTGACAGCAAACATGGCCATTCGCATTGTTTCACTCATTATATGAAGAGAATAAAATATTGGTAATGTGGTAAATGATGCTGGGATCAATGACGTATAATAATAGTAATTAAAAGTTGCATGAAATTGATTTCATAACATTTACATTAACACTGTGTCAAGTCACAGATGAGCAAAAATGGAAAATTACCAAATTAAAAAAAAACGGAAAACCACGGAAGCAACTTGTAGTTGTCCGAGAGAAAATCGACTGTTAAAATTGAGCACTGATTTTGGATATTAGATGTAATTACTACTTGCATTTATTGGCAATGTTCAAAGACTTACCCCTGGGCCAAGAATTTTATCTTTAACAGGAAATGTTGGTGGAGCAGCGTCTAACCCAACCATCACTTTTTCTTGCAATAGCAACCCCTGTTGACAATAGAACAGTGTTAGCTGTTTAGACAAATAAAATGAACAAAGAAAAACTGAAATTACTAGTTCACAAATATAAAACATGCTACTTCAACCAACTCAGTTACTATCTATAGATAACATATTTAGTATTTTTCACACAAGGCTGACATTTTTTTGTAAGGCTTGATCCGAATGTACCCATGAATTTAAAACACATTATTAGCTCCCCTACATCTTCATGCAGCATGTTTAGCCTTTTTACAGCCCATATATCAACACTCACCTCTGGAGGGAATCGCGGTTGCAAGCCCATAGGTGGTGGAGGTCCACGGAAACGTGGCGGAAATTGCACAGGGGCTTCGTGTCGTGTCGGAAGTCTGGGAGCCTCCGGCCGGGTTCCCCTTTGCTGCCACTTTTGCTGCTTGTTCTTGTAGGCATTGTCGATGGTTTCATTGACCTTTGCGACTGCCACTGTGAGAAGAATAAAAGTGTCATTGGGTGAATCCACCTATATCGCTTCTATAATTACGTGACGGACATCATAAGAAACAATTTACTTTCCATTGTACAATACAGACGACAGAATCAAGGTATTGTGATTCGCTTCATGTATTAGAAAATTAAGTCATTCGTAAGTGCCTACGGCCAAGGTCAGTCACAGCTAGAGAGATTCACTCCACATGGTCATGGGTATTTCTGCAGCCAATAGTGGCCACGTAATGTGAATACCTGCCCCAAGGTCACGGGTCATGTTCACCTGGTTTGAGGGGGTCGAGCACAAGAAGCAGTGGAAAGCATGTGGTAAAAGAGAAGGCATGAATGGACTGAGAATACATGAGGCAGATAGAAAGCCTGAATTGTTGACAGGAGATGTAGGGAGCAAATCCAGAGGGAGACAGAAGATGAGACATCTGGAGCAAATCCATAGGATGATGTACACAAGATGAAGCGATCTAGATTGCAGGGGTATCGAAGGTCAGACATTGACAGGAAAACAAGCAGGGGGCAAACCAGAAGAGGGAGAAGGTGAGGAGGAGGTGGAGTCGAGAGCAACAGTGGTGGGCTGACGAATGGTTCTAAAGTTAGTGTTGTTTTTTTGTACATGAACATTGTGATGTAGAATTGGCCACTGTACACGTACATAAGTAAACATTTAGTTACAGTTTACAAAACGCATTTCGTTATGCCCATTGTGCAGGTTAAAATCAGGTCGGTGACACTCACAAATTACACATGCACAATAGCAATAAAATAGCTTTGTGAGAAAGATTTATACGTACAATCAATAGATTCTTGATTAGGTCCAGAAATGTGTAAAAAAAGTGGTCTTTCCCTGAAAAAATAAAAAGGCAAAAATATAAGAAAAATAAAATCGTGATTTCGGAAACAAACCAAACTTCTGAAGATTATAGTACATTCGTGGACATATGATAATTAATATGAAATACAAAACCAATATAACTGATTTTTGTTTACACTCAAGCCTCTCTAACTAAAACAAATATATCTAGCATATAATAACAGTGAAGGGTGTTTTTAAAATATACCCCATGTTATTTTTTTCTCTGTCTCCAGGTGCCATATACCGGCCTCTTGTGGAAACGGCTGCTCCACTGTACTTGTTGATCTGGTGAAATTCAACATATAATACTTATTATTATCACTTATCATTGACAAACTATATATATATATATATATATATAGAGAGAGAGAGAGAGAGAGAGAGAGAGAGAAAGAGAGAGACAAAGAGAGAGAGGAAAGGAGGGAGAGAGGAAAGGAGGGAGGGAGAGAGGGAGGGAGGGAGAGAGAGGGGGAGAGAGGGAGAGAAAGAGGGAGGGAGCGAGAGAAGGAGACACGAACAGAGAAAGACAAACACATAGAGATAGAGAGATAGACAGACAGGCAGCCTGACAGGCATACAGACAGGCAGATAGACAGACAGACAGACACACACACATACAGAATACAGATATAAAGATAGATAGACACCAGGAACAGCTTTAGGTTTTACATACACCATTAAAATCTTGGCATGTTTATATACTTGCAATTGCATTACCTCATCCTGTGTGTGGCCTCGTGTCAGAATATTGCGAGCAGCCATGGGTACATTGTTAATATCCACTTCTGCTACAAATAAGTCATTTGCTTCTTTTCTATATTGAAGCCCACCAGCACCAGTCACAGTCTGCAAATTGAAAAAAAGAAGATTCTTTTGACTGAACACCTTTTTTTACACAGAACGTTTCTAAACAGAAAATTTGAATATGAAAACTTTGAATATGAAAATCTTCGAATAAACTCACCTAATAATTACAGGTAACATTCTACCTCTAACTGGTATACACTCATCATACCACATGACTATGCTCCAGAGTTTCAAACTACAAATTTTCCCAAAGTAATTTGCAGGGTTCTCCACCAGGACTTTCAGAATGCACGTCATTTATGGTTGGATGGGGGAGGGCCCAAGAGAGGGTTGTATCAAGTGGAGATAATTACACGTGTCATAAGCAGTTCCAACTGCCCAATACACAAGTAAACTCAATCAGTTCAGATCCATATATACATCAAGGTGTGAAAATACGTAACAGCATGACTGTGTTGGGATTGTCAAAGGTAAGCACAGCTGGAAATTAAGGCATATCGATGAGGCAATTAATTCATGTTTGGGAATTGATGGGATGTCACCAATCACATTTTTAAACTTAAAAAAGCGTGGAGAGAACACTGCTTTGAGTCAAGATTTTAACAAGGAAATAGTATTTTGCAATCACATATATTTGGACATATATATGCCATATGATTGATATACAATACCTTTGGTTTGTTGGCAGCAGGAAGTTTGAGTTTGCCCTTTGCAACAAGCTCGGCATCAACTTTAGCAGCTGCTTCAGCTGCGGCTTCAAGACTGCCTTTTTGCCTGTTGGAAGAAAGACTGCATTAGTTTACTGAAACACATATAGCCCAGATATTTCTGATTTCATATTAGGAAACAGCTCAATTGCCTGTTAAAAAAAAACAACTTTGAATCCACCAGGTACCTGGTAATTTCTACTCACAAAAAGGATGGGATGAAAGTCTGTTTGTTTTTTCCTTTTCATTTTTTCTTCAGTGCCAATGCTAGTAACAAAACCTCATCATCTTCATCGGACGAAGACAAAGGACCGTTCATTAAGACATTTTCCCGTTTTTAAGTTTTTGTTAAATATCTCAGTACTACCTGGAGACACTACACACTAGGAAACAAATGTGTGGTTTTATGCACTACATGTCTCCTCTATTGTGTGCAAATATAATATCATGGTCATTATATTGATAAGGGGAAACTTCCCCCCCCCCTTTCCAGGCGGAAGTTTGGCGGGCGTTTTTACCCGGGCCTCGGGATGCCCATCAAACAAACCCAGAACAGGTTTCTTGGTGTGTCTTATATGGTACTAGCGGGATACCCGGAGTTGCCCGGGGAAATCAGTGGCGTTACTCAGTTGGTGACTACTTGGTTGAAAGGAAAATACCCAAAAAAATCGAACTATCTATCTATCCATGCACCGCATCCCATCCCATCTCATCGCATCCCATGCCATCCAATGACATCCGATGCCATGCCATCCCATCGCACCGCATCCCATGGCATCCCATGCCATGCCATCCCATCCCATTCCATCCCAAACATTAAAAAATAATAATAAATCAAAAGATAAGACATTAAAGAGTGTATTGCGAGTTTTTTGGCTCAGAAAAACTAAATATAGCTGAATATAGTCTCACCTGACAGTGGAAACATCACTGATTAGACCAACATTAAAAACACTAAGATTTTATGCAGTTATAGCATAGAAAAATGGATTTGACCACATCATACCAGCTCCGAATATTATTATCGTATGCCGACTATCCAAAATACAAATGGCGCCTTCAAACGAAGTGCATCATTAAAACAAAAGGGCGTGCAATTCTGTGTGGTAAATATTATTGAATTTTTATGTCATTAATTCAGAGCTTATCTAATAACACTTTACGCAGTACTTATTAGTACTACACTGCTGTTACGCTAAGATGAACCTATGTGTTTACAATCTGACCCACTTTCTACGGTGCGCCGGTATGCATTACTGCACCCTGATAGATGTCTCGCGGCAAACCATGCAGGTTGAGCCAGAACCACAGCGCGGCAAAAATACCAAGCTCTGCGGGAAGATAGCTTCATCTTCACTCCTGCCTTTCTTTCACAGTTTCCCCTTACAATATCCAATAAGCACAAAGCTAAACTCAGTGAGGTGTTAACCAACCTGAGAGGAATGTATGGGGTTACAAAAAGTAGTAATAATTTACTAGTAGTACTGCCGATGCTTAAATGCCAAAAGTATTACAAAGGTTGGAGACAAACAACAATTTGTGGTGTATAAGTAACTGAAGGTATGACAAGTCATTCCCCTCTGGTTTATACAGCTATACAACAGCATCCATTTGCTGAAAATATAAATATGATAACAGGTATTGGATACAGAGTACTATCGAAAAAGGTCAACTTTAGGAAAATATCACACATTGGCTCAAAAATTAGAAAAAGATGATGAGTGCTAGAAAGCCTACTTTAGAATGTCAAAAACTCAATTTGATCAGCTGCATGAGCTTGCTGTTCCGCACACTTGTATCACAAACATGACACACTGGAGCCTGTCTAAAAGAAGATTAACTATAACTTTGAGGTCAGTACTGTGTTAAGTATTAAATTAATTTGTTTATTATTGTTTGCAATAAGTGATGATTGCCCGTTGCCACAGGTGGAAAAACCTAGGAGGGGCCACAAAGGATACGTGACTACCACACTAGTTTTGGAGTAGTAACGTACACCAATAATTATACAGTCACTGAAACTATGTGCACTGATTTAAAATTGTTTTATCTGAGGAACATTTTCCAATATGAGATAGTATGTCTGTCAAGCGCATTTCATCCTTTACTATACATTGTCCATTGGCTGAGGGTGGCGTGAACAGAACACCTGATCAAAAAAACAATCGCGTTGATTGATTCAATTGTCTTTTGCCATACACGTCATCCAGCAAAAGTCACTCATTTGACTTTTGCCGGTCGCTGTGAAACAGGGCCAGAGCCGTGCCGTGTCAGTGGAGACTGCACCATAAGATATATATAGATTTGAATTTTGCCGGAACGAGTGAATGGAGCTGTTGCCGATTCGTGCCATGCCGTGCACGTGTGGAGACGGGCCTTTACCGTGCCATGCCGTGTGTGTGTGGAGACGGGCCTTTACCGTGCCATGCCGTGTGTGTGTGGAGACGGGCCTTTACCGTGCCATGCCGTGTGTGTGGAGACGGGCCTTTACCGTGCCACGCCGTGTGTGTGGAGACGGGCCTTTACCGTGCCACGCCGTGTGTGTGGAGACGGGCCTTTACCGTGCCATGCCGTGCACGTGCGGAGACGAGCCTTTACCGTGCCATGCCGTGTGTGTGTGGAGACGGGCCATTACCGCGCCACGCCATGTGTGTGGAGACGGGCCTTTACCGTGCCACG